AGGTGCTGCCAAAGTACGCTAGCAGCGTTCGCAGTACAGCCTGATGGGCGACGACGACGACGATGCGATCGGCGTTTTCAAGTTCCATGATCACCGGCTCCAACCGCAGAACTAAGTCCTGGTAGCTCTCCCCTTCCGGGTAACGAAAGGTGTACTTGTTGATTTTGCGGAAATGGTCAATCATCGGGTGCTGCGTGCGCACCTCTTCAATTGTGAGATCCTCACAAATACCGGCGTGAATTTCATTGAGACTACTCCAACGCACATTTTTAATCCCCAACAACGGTTCACTGTTCTCTACGGTCTGAATCGCACGGCGCAGCTGACTCGTCCACACCTCCACTTTCACCGACTTCTCACACTGAGCCCTGCAATCGCTACTGCAGAACCCTCCCGCTTTATCATCGTCGTTGTTCACATGTCCTTCTCCGTCTACCGTCTTTTTTGTATCTGCGCAGTAGTGCCTCTTCAATGAGGCCAAGAAGCCTAATATTTCATTGGCTCCTTTTTCCCCATCGGCGCTCAGGACAGAATCCCCACCAATGCGATTCTCAGCGTTGTATATCGACTCCCCGTGTCGAACAAAAAAAATGGGATGTTGAATCTTGTCTTGTGTCAGATTCATTACATATGAGACAATGCGGCTTGCCGTATAACCCGTCACACCGTGCACTTCAATCTCCACCGAATTCCACAGTTTCATATACCGCCGCCCTCGTTGCTTACTTCGTGTCTTTTTCCCCGGTACTTTATCCTTCTCACGTGACACATCGCCCAATGTCACCTCATCATCAGAAGGTCCTCCAGGGCTCTGGCATGTAGACGAGAGCGTGGAGTACACTTCAGTGAGGTATTCAATACGGCGTGCAAAGTCTCGCTGAGCCTCACTTGCATTCACGTCATGTGGGTACTCTGACTTATCATGCAGCTTCAATTCATTAAACTTTTGATTCCTTTCATTACTTCGGATAACTTCCATAAAAAAGGTTTGTGAAGCCAACGGAGAAAAAAGGGCCTCCGCCTCATCCCGCAGCTCCTCCGTAATGAAATCATCGTTCACAACGAGTACATCTCCGCCACGAGCATAAAACGATTTTGCGTCGAGAGCATACCGCTCGAGTACACGTCGATAAAGACGACGTTCGACACTATCAGGGTCACAAGTAAGTGCACGGAATTGTTCTGCGCACACGTAGCCCTTTTTCTGTGATTTCCCCATCATCGGCAAAGAAGACTCAGGCGATGAAGAGACTACGGGATCGGATATATCCTTTTGCTTCGCAGTTATTCCCGTGTCTCTCTCACTGTTGCTGCAAGTTAGCGTCGGTAATTTTTTCGGCGTCCCCTCCGATTTGGCAAGCGTACATTTGGCTGAAGAGGAGGCGTCATCAACCGGTAACATGTTGCGGGCATCGAATCCTGAATGGCATCTTTTGTATTCAAGTAACAGACGCCGCCACGCCACTTGAACGTTCAATACTTTTGCGCGATAGCCGTGCCATCCCAAATTTCGGCATATCCTTTGCGCCAGAAACGTTTTGCCCCGCGCAGGGAGTCCAACCATGATAATGCAGAGTGACGCCACACTCTCTTGAGCATCACTGCTGAAGTGCTCGGGTCCCTGACGCGTAATAGGAATCGTATAGTTGTCGAGCAAGGGAGTCAATACATTTAGGGTGGAGTCTGTGGCGGACGGCCGGCTGCTCTGGGAAGAAGATAAAACACTCCGGACAGCTTCGCAGGAGAGAGCCGTGGGTATACGTCCGCGCGCCAGAGAACAATTGGCGGAAATCGGTGGGTTACCGCAAGTTTCTGGCGATTGCACCGAAGTGTCTTCAACGGTCATTTCTGGCTTGGCGTTCGTACGAGACTCTTCTACACTTTCGGCTTCACGCAGCTCTTTAAAATATGCAGCTTCACGCCAACTCCATTCTTTAAATGGGCGAATCGGGCCTTTAATTAGTTCAAGTAGACGTGATTCACGCTCGTCGTCATCTGCCGCACTCTTACGTGCCTCATCTGCGGCTGCAGTGGCGAGGGGGTGGGTGTCGGCTGGAGCGATGGGGGTATCCGACGGCTCCACGGATGAATGAACCGCCCACTCATCCACCTCCGTGTGGTCCCTCACATCAACGCTCATTTGGAGGCAAAAAGGTGCCAAAGAAGCAAAGGTGCTCCCAGAAGGTATGGCCAAAGAAAGATGGAGAAAAGGGAGAAGGAAGGAAGGGGGCGATGCGTGTGAACTATCGTGAATATGTTTTATACAGACAATATATATATATATATGTGTTCCCTTTTACTCGTTTCCTCCGCGTGGAAGAAAGAATATACTTCCACAGTATAATTGCCACCACGCCTATCCTCTACCCAGTTCTCTTGTAGCCCACAAACCAAAAGCGTTATGTATAATGCAAATACAAATTTTCCCCCAACCAACCCCGCTCAAACATACGTGCGGCAAAAGGCCAAAGATAAAAGAAAAAAAGGAAAGAAGAAAAAAAAAAAAAAGTGAGTGGGTCTCGCAGTGCGGCCATTGCCGCGGTACAAGTGACATACGAGGAAGCAATAATTCAGCGCCGCCAATATGTATTTCCTTCCAGATGCCGAATCTGCCGCCATTTTTTTTTTTTTTTTTTTTGTCTTAGGCGACAATCCCAAAAAAGGGCGCGTAAAACGAACAAAATAAAAATAATAATAAAAAATAACAAAAGGGTTCGATTTTCTCGCAGCATCATATCTGCATTGTAACCCTCTCATCCCTTCTGTAAACATTTGAAAATCCAACTCTCCTTAAAGTCAACCCTGCCCTCATGCAAAAGACCCTTTTGCGCCGTGTTTTCCTGTTCTGGCTGTCTTTGTGCTGCAGGAATGTGCATGTGGTTATTTTTTCTGCTCCTTCCTTTCCTCTCCATGCCCCTTTTCTCCTACGCCTCCTCCACTTGCCATTGTGGATGTGCCTGATGCTTCCGTTGTGTAATAACCCCGTCGCGCCACTCGCTGCCGTGACACGGTTGCATACACCATGCACACAAAGGCAAAGAAGACAAGGGCAAAGATTCCAAACACAAGACGGTACCCCACAGCCGCATCTACAACAGCTGCCCTCTCCGCTTGCTTCCTCAGCTGCATAAACTGCAATTCCACCTCTGGACTGAATGCGGCTGAAGTGGACGCAAATGAGTTTGGAGGGTACTGGGGACGGCCAGGGTCGCCGCCCAGGCCATCTCCCAAGCCGCCCGTGCGCTGATATTCACGGAAAAGACGATCCATCGCTGCCTGAGCGGAATGACCTTTTGGTCCAAACATGAACGAGAGCCGATGTAAAGCGCCCCTCCGCCGCCGCCCATCCGACACATTCCACGGTGGGGCCTCCTCCCGCATCCTCTCCATGCGCCGCTGAAAATTATTAAATTCCGCCGTTGGGCGTCGTCCCCGGCCTGACGTCGTGCCATTATTCGCGTCCTGTGTGCCCTGACGTTGTTCGCGACTTTGACCCTCGTACGCACGTTGCGCTCGCTGTTGTGCCTCGCCATCCGCGCGAGATACAGACAAAATCATACGTCTCTCCTCTCGGCTGTATTGTCTTAATAACCGATAGGCTTCCACACCTCGCCGCATGTTGTCTGCAGCCGTCGTTTCACTCCTTAATGTCTCCGCGTTGACACCACTGTACTTCGTTTCATGGTCGCCGTGATCGTGGGAATGGTCGCGGTGGAGTACATCGGGGTGACTGGTCTTGGCAAGCTTCTGAAAGCAAAATTTAATGTCGCCGTCCGTCGCATCGTCTGGGAGGGAAAAAACACGCAGTGCGGCGCGAAGCTCCTCGCTAGACACTGTGTGCTTCGTTGCGGTACACCGAGACGAGCCAAATATCACCGCACACTCTCTTTCCGCCCCACGGTCTCGCACAACTCGTCGTATTACAGCCGATGTAAAACGGCCGCCGCTCATACCGACATGTTTGAAAGATCCATACATAAAGATTCCCCCACAATGGACCACAACCACCATATATATATATAAGTATATAACTACTCCCTGTGTATTTGTGTGTATGTTCTATGCTGCTAGACCACACAAATAAAAATACAAAGCAAGAATGTCATGTAAGATATACCCAAAAAAAAAAAAAAAAAAAAAAAAAAAAAAAAAAAAAAAACTTAAACGGTACAGAGGCCACTGCTGACACGTCACAGTTACCCCAAAAAACTTCATTCTTTTTTTTTTTTTCATGAAAGAAGGAAGAATGTTGATGCAAACGGTACCAAATTCACAGC